ATGGACGTCGCTAAAAATTACTTAATGGTTATTCCTGCAGTATAGGAGCTGTCTCCTCCCCAATGATATTTTCACGCGATGCTTCTTTGGTGTTTGTTTCAGTGACAGTATCTTCATGACCTGTCACCATGCGGTCGTCATCCTTATATGGGAGATGACCTGTCACCATGCGGTCGTCATCCTTATATGGGAGATGACCAGTCACCATGCGGTCGTCATCCTTATATGGGAGATGACCAGTCACCATGCGGTCGTCATCCTTATATGGGAGATGACCTGTCACCATGCGGTCGTCATCCTTATATGGGAGATGACCAGTCACCATGCGGTCGTCATCCTTATATGGGAGATGACCGGTCACCATGCGGTCGTCATCCTTATATGGGAGATGACCAGTCACCATGCGGTCGTCATCCTTATATGGGAGATGACATGTCACCATGCGGTCGTCATCCTTATATGGGAGATGACCTGTCACCATGCGGTCGTCATCCTTATATGGGAGATGACCTGTCACCATGCGGTCGTCATCCTTATATGGGAGATGACCTGTCACCATGCGGTCGTCATCCTTATATGGGAGATGACCGGTCACCATGCGGCCGTCATCCTTATATGGGAGATGACCGGTCACTTTCATCAGTCTCAACCTCACAGTCAGATCCACACAACAGTGTCTTCCTTTCTCTCAAGCTGGGATTCCAAGTCATGGAATTTCCCTTTTGTTTCTCACGTTAGACTGACCTCGCCCACTGGTGTGAGCACACCGTTACTGCATGTGGCACATTGTCTGTGGGGTATCCTGGCGAGCACAATTCTTCAACTTTGCTGACCTGAAGTTTCTTGATGCCGAGTCTAACTGCACTTAAGCCCACTTAAACTTATCCTTTACTGCACAGAGCTTTAATTCCGCAAAAACCTTCCCCCTTCTTGTATTTTACATGGTGTGATCTTGCATCGTGAATAGCGTGTTGCACACTTCTGGCTCACTTGTGTAAACATCCTGTTCAATGTCCATAGAACGCACATATCTTTCATTTGACAAACACTTCTTCCTGTCCACACTTTCAACCGACGCATATTAGTTTAACAACTAGTCTCTGCTGTTTCTTTGGCTGGGTCGCTGGTGCGAGTGTGCACTGATAAGTGACTCCAACCCAGCCCTTGTAACTGTTGTTTATGTTTCCTTTCTCTGAACCCTGACTTCTTGTTCCCCCTGGTCCAGTTTACCTTTAATTGATCACGTCTTGCAAGTCTCATAAGGTTTTCATTTCCGATGGATGATTAATAATTTCAACAACCTTCTTCATTCTAACAATGTTTCCATCTAAATCAATGTGGCCGTAAATGTTCAGTTTCTCCGGTTGTGTTTCATCGGTCAGTCCAACTGTACAACGCCTGGACTTCATATCTCCATATTCACAGAGAGACGCCCATTCTCGTACCATACAGTCCCAGGAACTAACGCTTTCTCCTTCGTTTTGATACGTTTATGACTTAAACACGCACCCCAAGGTCACCGAACGTTTATATTATTGCCTTCCCAGCATCAACCGGACCTGGATTTCATTCCAGTTCAATTTTGTAACGTTTGTAAAACCAAGGGCATAATCCAACATGAAGTGCCGCTCATGCCATGTACCGAGAACCTGTGAAGATCTGGGTTAGAATTGATCTTCAGCAACCCATGCTTGTCGTAAGAGGCAATTAACAGGATCGGGTGATCAGGCACGCTCACTTGGTTGACACATGTCATCGATTACCAAATGCGTAGATCGATACTTATGCTGTTGATCACTGGATTGTCTGGTCCAGACTCTATTATTTACAGACCGCCGATACATGGCTGGAATACTGATGAATGCGGCGTTAAATAACCAACAAACCAACCAACCAACCAACCAACCATGTCCTGATATGTAACAGATACGACGTCTGACAGCTTCATGGCTGTTGTTGCTCGGACACTGGTTTGAGTAGAGTAGGGAAAAACGCGCTTTATCAGAGATCGTTGACATGAGTTTGGCAAATTTCTTTCCAGGAAATATATTTAACTATTCGACAAGTTTAAAGAAATTATTTGAACGATCAAGTATTAATGAACATACACCAGGCGTCATTAACTAAGCGTTAAATCATGTAACATACATATATTAGAACTAAGAGTGTCAACAAAATGTTTAATGTGTTGACAAACATGACACATCGTGACATACAGACAAGTTTGCAGAATCGGATTCAATTCCTCTACTAGAGCTCTGCGGAGTCCTGGGAGATCCAGTGGTACGTCGACCGAGTTCATCACAGGCATGCTCAATTGGGTTGGCCACTCCATCCTCTCTACACCCTGCTGCCTAAGTGAATCCGTGACAATCCTGGTCCAATGAAGCCTAGCGTTGTCGTCTTGCTGTAAAGAGGGTCGACCATAAAAGCCATGCATAGCTTACAGGAATGGTACTGCTATAGCTTGTAGGAATGGTACTGCCACAGTCTACCAATAGCACTCACATGAAACTCAGTTTAGAGCTGAGTTTGACCACATTCCAAAAGGCCTTTAGTCTGACCACTTTTAGCAAGTGTCAATTTCAAACAGGTACCTGAACAGTGAACGGCAGTGAAAAATCATCAATACAAGTGTATTTTCTTCCACTTTCCATGGATAGAGAGACTTGTACGTGGAAATCATTGACATTAATTGGCAGGTGGATTTCCCTATTTACAATTTGAATAAAAAAATGTGCCATTTGTAACAGAATGTATCGGACGTTAAAGAATGTAATAATCACATTTCAACGGCCTGATGTGTTTTTCCATACTGTTAAAAAAGTTTGTAAAACCTTCAGTTGTATATATTTCAAACAAAAACAAAGATTTTACAACTTTTAAGAAATAGTGTTACTAAGTTTTTGACCATTCATTATTGACGCCGAGTATATTTTAGCACCATTCTGCTTGACTGTAAAGAAAGAAAGCACAATGTTTATGAGAACGGAGTCCTGACGTTGAATGTAGGTTTCAATCACACACAACCTGAACTGAAGTGTCAACAAATAACACCTTCGATAAATTGCAGAATCATGGCGAATTATTGCATTATTTAAAAAAAAATAGTTTGTAAACCCTCGTTACTTCAAAACAATGTCAGTAATTTTGTTTCCTGTTTTACATATTAAAACATATTTGTTTAAAACTCTATGCCTTAATTTCAATCCACCCATAAATATTGAAACTGGATAAAAAATGTCTTCCAGAGTAGCCCATTTGACCGAAACTGTCAAATAATTGTAATATATACATACTGGTTTAAATATAAATATCACTGAATACCTAACAATAGATCGATCAATTCAAGAACTGGTAGACCAAATATGATAGCTGTAAACATTTTCTGAAAACGAAACCGATGCATGTCATCTACTCAGTTACTCGCACGTAAGGAGAATGCACCCGTTTCATTATTGCGGTCAATTGTCTTTCATGTGTCATGCATCGGAATATTTTTCATTTGAAGGCAAAAAGTATCAATGACTATTCAGACGTGCTCTAATTTGTAATGTGTTTCCTGCATGTAGAGACACGGGTAAATATGGCTGATTTTGTGTTCCCATATCTCTCTGTACGATGGTGTAAAAGTATTAGCGTATTATACATCTGCGGTGTATCGAATGCTTGCAAAAGCCATATTTAGATTAAAATCACATACGATTCTTGGATTTGTGTAGATTTCATCAGAGAAGTCAGTGTGCCTTTAAGGATGCTCATTTGATAACACCTTGGGATGTCAACAGTAGAACCGGAGAGGAAGAATTCGTTATTACTGATCGTGATGGTGATGAAATTATCTTGCAGCTGAATAGACTGAATGGAAACAATCTAGGACGGAGCTTGCCTTGCATCTGAAAAACGATGCATCTGAAAAACTCAATCAACACCTTAAATATGCGATGAAGATGGGGAGAATACATGTGCAGGGTATGATGGCCTCAGTGTTTTATTGTAAACATGACTAAAGTGTTGATGAATTTGAGTATCATAAGTATGTCCGACATAAAATGAAGGAATTCATATTCATAGCCATCATTGTTAGATAGTTGTATTCAAGTGCAGCTTCCAAAATGAGCAGACGACATGCGTTACGTGACATAGCCGGCCTAGTGCGACACGAAGTGTGAGATCGCAAATGGTAGAGATATTCAGCATTTCATTCAGAAGCCCAAGCCACGGACACAACCTTACATGTTAAACTACGTACAGGAGATCTAACGTAATTGAAAGAAAAGCAATCTCTACTCAACAAGAGCTAAATATGATCCTATTGATATAATGGAAGGAAGTCAGGGAAATACGACACGTTAGATAATATCAGTTCTATGGAATAGTTTAGATACTTGAAAAAACTTTTAAACTCGTTTCTGTCAAACTCTTCTATGGTCGATATGCTACATCGGGAGCTGCCAGAGCATGACCCTGAGCTGTGTTGAGTTGTGATGATGGACAACCACCTCTAGAAAAGTCACAAGTAATTGGGAATCAGAACAAAATAACGATTCTACATGTGATGGTTTTCCAGTGTGAAGACAGTCGTTCGATATCATTGTTTCAACATGTGTAAAACTGTTCAAAGAGAGGTTTGTGTGTATCCTATAACATTGAGCAGAGTGGAGCTGTATATCTGGTAACCGGTACAGGAATCCATGAGTCTTTTAATAATCACAGGACTTCCCGTTATCTTTACGTTACTACTTCTTTTACAGATCCCCGGATATGGGTATAACTGTAATTAACAAATACAAATAGATTTTTCATCACTGGTGGCAACAATGCTGTCTGAGATGTTTGTAGGTGATCATTCAAAGGTTGAACTGTATAAGGGTTTGTTTTATCATACTTCTCTTTGTCATACGTTCTTGAAAGGGACCGTTAAAGACATAGATAATACGAGAACACACTACAGGTTAGGGTTGTATTTGGATCATTCACAACTTTTGTTTTTGTTTCAGGTGTCCCGATGTGGCTACTGCCTGTTGGTGATAGCATTCTTCTGGGTCACAGAGATAATCCCTCTTGCTGTCACTTCCCTTCTTCCAATTGTTCTCTTTCCTGTGTTTGGCATCATGTCTGCAAAAGATACTTGCATGAGCTATGCCAAGGTGAGTCATACTATACATATGGAAATTAATTAAGCAACACCTAATTCATGACACTATCATTCTGTGAATTAAGAAACCAGAGCATTTGTCTGAATGATTTCTTAACATTTTGCTTCTTGCTGTATGGCACACTGTCTCCTTTTTAATTTGGATTGAAATTCAGTACCACGTCATGGCACGTCGTAAATTGTCAGAGGCTACACGGTAGCAAATTATTGGCATGAGAAATGAAGGAATGTCCCTCAGACAAATTGGACAAAAATTTAGGCGCGGTCCTTCCTTCATTTCAAGACTCATGAGCAAACACAGGGCTACCAATGACGTTAAAGAGCCTCCAACACCTTGCAGACCCCGTAAAACAACAATATGAGAAGATAAGGCATTTTTGAGACTTGTTTGGCGCCGTTTATTGGACTCGGGCACACGGTCAAGGCAACCGTGGTTAACAGGGAGAGCCATTTCCTGCGCAGGATCGTAAGGACTCGGATGAAAGCAGCAGAATACAGGACCAGGGATATAAAAGTGTCCCCAGCTTACAAAGTAATCAATGTGTTCGCTGGAACATTGCATCATGGCAAAGGGTTCATCTTTGACGTTTTTTATTGCATATGGTTGATGGTCGTACACGTGTCAGGAGACAAGGAAACACAGCTATGGTTCCCCGCAATATCCAGGAGACGGTTCCGATTTGGGGAGGGTCAATCATGGTATGTGGATGCATTCCCTTGGGTTGCGAAATGGACTTCCTTAACATTCGTGGTAACCCTATCAACAGGAGATCCTCACAGAGTACGTGCTGTTTCCCAGTTCTCAATCCCATTGAGCATTTGTGGGACATTTTAGGCCGTCGTGTTCAACAAAGAGACACACCTATCACGATTCTCAATGAAATGACTGCTGCTTTGCATGAGGAATGGGATAGGATTCCTCAAAATCAAATCCGGAGATTGATCCCAAGGAATGAGGAGGCGTCTTGAATCAGTTCTTGGTGTGCAGGGAGTTTACACAAGAAACAACGTTTATCTCTGAGCTATGCTTGGAACTAGGGATAGGACACATGCAGGGGTCAATATGTTTATATTTCACAGTCTGTTAATTGCAGACTAAGGAGCATATACCAGCAAAGTAAAGATGTTAAAAAACTGTCAATGAACCTTTAGCTGCACAGCATCCGCAGAGTGTCAGCATTGAGTCCAAGCCGTCCCTCCATCGAACAAGATGAGACAGGGAGAATTGAGCAGAAACGTTATGAGCAGCCGATCACATTGGCTGAACTTGGTCAGGAGTGACTCCCTACGATCGCTATTGTGTGACGTAGCTGGATCCAAACAATGCCAATGCAATTTTCCATGTTATCCTTATCGATCTTAAATATATTTGATCTTACTTCATTTCCAGTTTTAATGTGTTTGCAATTCGTTTGTTATTATCAAGCAACTGTTACTAGAAACTAATATCTCTTACAATTTTGGACATTTTAAGTATTATTCCGAGTACCCCCTAATTTGTTGAAGAGTATATTTTCTATGCTTCATTCTTGTGTTGCTTAGGATACGCTCATGCTGTTCATGGGGAGTCTCATGGTAGCAGTGGGCGTAGAACGCTGGAATCTGCATAAACGTATAGCACTAAGGACGTTATCTCTCGTAGGGCCTCAGCCTAAATGGTGAGTCCTTAAAATATACCTAAATTAACACCTGCTTCCCACACATACTTTATCATATAAAGTCAAAATAACACTCCTGCACAGAAGCATGTAATAAAAAACACAGATAATGTCGCGTCCTTTTCGGCAGCTGAGACATTGTCGAGAAATATCCATCCTTGGTTATATAAAAACTAATACTATTCTTCTTATTTGCAAAGCATTACTCGAAAATATTATTCCGATTTGCCAACTTTTGTTTTGTGTGTTTTTTGTGAAAGGTTGCTGTTTGGGATCATGTTGCCGTGCTGGTTTCTATCAATGTGGATGAGCAACACCGCCACGGCCGCCATGATGATGCCCATAGTTAATGCTATTCTGGACCAAATCAAACTTACCCGACATCAGCGTAAGTCGAGCCATTATTTACGTCTCTTGCTGTTTTAGTTTTTTCAACACCCTTGAAAAGGAAAGCAAACCGCAACAGAATTTATGTAAACTGTTGCTCCCTTAATAGTGGTGAGATATATTGTTTTATATAGTCGACACGTGTCACATGCCACATGCAACGTAAAACACAACTTTGCAGATTCTGATACCTTTCTGTATGGACTTACCGAAACAAAGCATCAAAAATGCAAATTCAACTTATAAAGTTGCAAAAAAAAGCGATGAAAAAACCCGCGCGAAATCGGAGTTCAAACGATTCACTAATTTTTCCCCAGCGCTTTGGGAAAAAGTGGTTTCAACAGTTGGGCTGCGCTCATGCGCAGTGAAATACGTTCGCGCAGCTTGGAAGCGGGTTGTCCGGATTATAAGGTCGTGAACAGGAGTAGTCTTATCAAAACAAATAGTAAATAATCTACTCATTACATAAAAGAACCTTGTTAGGATCTAGATCTACTCAGCTATGTGTCAACCAGTGAGGCGTTCGACATTTCAAGACCTTCGCTGGCGGTGAATACTCGATGAAGGCTTTGGTGTGAGCTATTTTTCTAATGTTTTCTTGATATTTCACAGGCGCGAGCTTTTTATATGTTATGACAGTAAATTACCGATTTAACTGTTAAAACAATTTCATTTGTTCTTCTTACCGAGTCACTTTCTCGGTTCGATACTTAAAAGCAATGTCATTTTTTAGCTTTGACAGAAGTTCTAACTGTGATATATATAGATATGCCTCTGTCACAGACAAAACTCAATGTCTGTTTTATTGACACCTATGTGTCTGCCTGCCTGTCTGCTCTGACTGGGTTCGGTATCCCGGCTGCTTCGTTTCTTGGGAAGTAAACCCAAGTACAAAACTATTGCACTTATGATTGGCGATTGAACACTTATGATTTTGTTTATATGTTTTTTTCATAATCAGCAATGTATATTATATGTCATGAATAAGTGATAAGTGTGTGTTAATGATGTTTGATTTTTTTGGTTGCATGTGACCTTTAAGGATGTGATGCACAGGCCCGATGTCAGTAGATCTGTATCGTGTGAGGAGTACTAGGGATAAGTATCAGCACTAGAGAAACATCAAGGTCATAGCAGATTCCCATGTAGACATTACTTTTGTCCATGTCTTTGCCTTAGAAGGAATAGGTTTATACCGAACTGACGGATATACCGCTTAGGACGAACTAAAGTGAGTGGTTCCTCCGAGTTCGTTATAACCGTCGTTTACCGCACCTGAACAATAAACACAATCAAAGTGTTTCAGTAATACCACTTATTATTATTATCCAGTAATACCCGGTGTTCCCCACCATGCATTTCCTCCCCATTTATATGTATCACTTCTAAATATTTTATAAGTATTTTGTGTTTTCTGCTGAAATGATTGGTGCACGCACGCACACGAATGTAGGAAAAAAAGTAACAGGAAAAAACGAAACAGGAAAAAAAGTAACGGAAAAAAGTAACAGGAAAAAAAGTAACAGTTTTATATGTGGTTAGGGTTGAGTTTCATGGTACTTTCATGTCTTGTGTGAAAAAACTCGCACTTCCTATGATATATTGTTTCAGGCCGTTGTAGATAATCTGAATGAGTTGAATGTTGATATGAATGTTAAGATTGTTGTCACTGATTTTGAAGATGCTGTGTTGCGTGCTGTAGATGCTGTGTTTAGTAGACATGTACAGAGTAAAGGGTGTTTCTATTACTTAACCCAGAGCACATGGAGAAAGGTCCAGTGTCTTGGCTTAGTTCAGACATATCGTGATGATCCAGACTTCAGATTGTTGTGTGGCAAGCTTGATGCTCTGGCCTTTCTCCCAGTTGATGACGTGAGAGAGGGTATGGATCATCTGAAGGACATTGTCCCTGAAGATGCCGAGGAACTGCTCACCTACTTCGACGAGAACTATGTGACTGGCACCTACAGACAACGCCCGCCTGCAGCACCTGGCTCCCTTGCCCCACTCCGCCTCAGACTGACCCCACCCCATGTGCTTTGTTATACTTTGTTAATAAATAAAAAAACAAACAACTGAACAAGTGTTTCTTTTTTTCATGTTACTTTCTTTCCTAGCAAAATCTGTTACTTTTTTCCGTTTCTGCTTTACACACACACACACACACACACACACACACACACACACACACACACACACACACACACACACACACACACACACACACACACACACACACACACACACACACACACGTTCCAGGATTTACAAAATATACGCTGTATGTGTATCAATCTTTAAAGGATCTTTTCACGAAAAACATTAGCATTAGCTTTCATTTCATGAATGAGGGTTGAAGTTGCGGCAAGACTGTCCATCCCAGAGGGCATGTAAGACCCTGCCATTGAAAGTATCCTGATCATTGAGATGTCTTTAATCGTAGGTTGTGTGTTCTTTTACTGAATGACTAAACTGGGCAATACTTACCCACTGGGGTCCATACATAGTCCTTGATGTGGTGATTTACATTCTAATATATGGCCATTTCTCTCACAATAGTTATGTTAATATAAGCTCACTGTGTTCCACCTTTGATCGTTATTGAACTTCACCTGTCACTATTTCATGGCTACAAGATGGTGGCCTGTATGTATTTGTTCCTAGATCTGACTAACTCGTGACTGACATTAGCAGCAGCATCGCAGGTCGTAGGCTGTCTCCTGTCCACCTTGTCAGGTAGTCGCCCGGAGATCTACGATGGTGTTTTTCTTCAATTTTCTGTTACATTACATCTGTATGAGTATGAATGAACAAGTTGATACAATATGTCGGATTGTTCCCAAACCTAGGCCACAGATTTAGCTTTCCAACATAAACTACAGGGAAATAGATGCGATTTGTTTGGTTACATGTACATGATACTTCTGTCATATATGAGGTCTTTATGCCTTTAATATACCTGTGGCAACATGATATTTTTCACTCAGTAGTTTCACAAATGTATCATATCATAGTATCATATCATAAACCTTCTCCACAGATGGCACAGAGGAAACATCCATTGCCATAGAAAACCGAGATTCTGCGCAAGAAAAGGTGGAGCTGGAGGCCAGCTTAAAGTCCCCCGCCCTGGCCATTGAAGAAGAAAACAGGCTGACAGTGTAAGGCTCGCTTTGCCAGTCGCACGAACTACTTCAAGTTATAAATATGACATGCTGTGTGTGATGTACCTATTTCTTGTACCTATAAAGTTTGAACATAATTACAGAAGGCACAAATATCAAGCAGCCCCAGTGAATACATGGATAGACAGCTATCAAAGATATATTAATATCCAATACCGCTGGTTTTCCCTAACCATGTCAGGCGAGTAGTTGGAGTATTGGTCATAGCACTCACTCATTCACTTGCATTAGTAGTATTGATAATGCCATTACGTGTTGTTCAAATGACAGCAGTATCATGTTACTGGGTGTCATGTTTTACTAAAAGAAGAATCCGCCCAGTTGAGAAGAATAATGTCAGTGATTCAGCGATGATGTCAGTAACAATACATTGTTGACGTAACGCAGTGTTAATCATGTGTCTATAGTGCAGTGGCTTAGGGTGAAAATAGATACTTGGCGGACTAAAGCATGAAACTTTGCATAGTGCTGGGGAATATCATGATAAAACATACTTTTTGGGGGTGCCTGATTTTTGGGGCACATTTTCCGAAGAATTCAAGATTGCGTCCAAGATGGCCGCCAAAAATCAAGAATTTCCAATTTTAATACTATATGACTTTTCCGCTGCTGGATTATAGCAGAAAACCTTGCACAGTGCTTGGGAACATAATGATAAAACATATTTTTGGGTGTGCCCGGTTTTATGGGCCCATTTTCAAAAAAATCCAAGATGGCGTCCAAGATGGCCCCCTAAAAGCAAGGATTTCAAATTCTAACACTATTGTGAATTTACCCCGCTGGATTAAAGCAGAAAACCTTGGGAACATCGTGATTAAGCATATTTTTGGGGTGTGCTCGAATGCTTGGGCCTATTTTCCCCAAAATCCAAGATGGCCGCCAAAAATCAAAGAGTGCTGAAGTCCATTCAGAATGGTCGCCGACTATAAAAATATTCATTTGTTGCAATATGTGAGATATATTCGCCGTTCAAAGGGCTATTCTAATACTTTCAAGAAATATAACAAACAAGATTTATGGGTAGTAGTAAAATATATAATTCATTAGTCACGTGACGTCAATTTGTCAAACATCGATCTCTGTGATTCTAAAGTCTCCTTTAACAGTTCCCATTGAAGTTACAGAGCGATGCGCACAGAAGTTGAGAAGATTTACAAATGCACTTCTTTGAGCATAGAGGTTGAGACTTGCAGCCACATTTGATAATGTTGTTGATAATGGTACCAGCGAAAAACCTATTTCAATAGACGGTATTTCAAGCTCTTCCAAACCTACACTTCCAGGAAGTTGTATAGTTCCTGCAGTAGCCTGCAATGTGGAGAGAGTTAATGTGCCTATAACTCATCATCAAGTCGAAGACAAGATCACCAAAGCTAAGAAGAATCGTGGATCAAGCACTGCTATGGCCTTCTCGCTGAAGAACATTTGGAAAAGGATGAGTTGCCTGGTGCATTTCATGCTTCTCGTCAAACCCAGGAACAGGTTGCAGCAGGAATAAGTTCTCTTCTTCCTCTTCTTTAAGGACAAAGCCGCAAGTCTTGCCATGGCTAAGCATGGTATGTCTATTATCAAGACAGTCACAGAACATTGCAATCCAGGACAACTCCCAGTGATGGATATAGCTCAACCACATTTTGCGCTAGCAAAATATGTTCAATGGAGATGGCCTAATGTGTTTGGTTGAGATGTGTACACTATCAAGCTTGGAGGTCTTCACATTGAAACAGCCTTATGGAAAATGGTTGGAGACTTGTTGGAAGATTCTGGATGGACTTCAGCACCAACAGAAGCGGATATTGCCCAAGTGGAACAGCTGAATCTTTCATTTTAGCGTCTCATGCTACAAGGACATGCTCATGAAATAGCTGCCGTATCAAATAGCAAGTCTTCAAAGCGATGCTTACATATTCCCACTGGAACCGCATGTTCAACAATCATTTGAAGACTGGCTGGAAACATTGGATGTCAGAAAACATTCCAACATATAAATACTGGGATTTGATTCTTCATCTCGAGACAATGATACCAATCTGTGTGAGGTCCCATCGCGAAAGAAACATGTCTCTGTACACCCAGGTAATGGAACAACTTGTCCCTTGGTTCTTTGCTCTTGATCACACCAACTATGCATGCAGGTTGTCAGTTCACATCAGAGATATGAAAGCCTTCCTGTTGACAGAAGAGAGTCCATTCAGAGAGGTTTGTTTTCCCCAAAACATCAAACACATTGGCTGCCATGCATTTGGATCAAGCTCATGAGCGAAACAGCAAAGTTGTAAAACACTCAGGTGGTGCAGTTGCATTAATAGAAAATGTTGCCTTAACTAGATGGATGGTATTTGGACCAGAACAAGCAAGAATTCTGCTAGAGTTTGAGAAGCAAGATGACAAGGTTGATACTAGAAGCAATGAACACGATTTTGCTACACAGCAGACATTTAAGACTCAAGTCAACAACTTATGTGGCACAGTTGCTTGTATGGGAAATCCCTTCCTGGAAGAGTCTCCTGAACTGATGACCCTTGATGATCATCAATGTGTTGGTGAAGCTGTCGTAGCATCTATGAAATCAATGGAGAAGACAGGAAAAGACAAATATGAGAAGTTTGTAAAGGACAGAGTCAATTCACAACCCCATTAAGAAAAATCACCGTTTTTCAAGCCACCACAAACAAACCCTCAGTCTAAATCAAACAGCAAACGAATGACCTGAAAAATGGCTACAGTATCTTCAGTCAGATGCTCATTGATTGTCAGGTACGTCAACCTAATTTAAAAACAATTCTTTTCTCATGAAAACCACCCGTGGCCACAATCCATATCAATTCATGAAAAACTTCATTTACCAAACTGCAAATAAGAGCTCTTAGATTGTCTTGTATCACCTGGGTACGACTCTGCTCGAGACAACACGAGAAAAGCGAAGAAAGGCAGTAGAAGAAAAGTTTCCCGTCATACTAGACTACCAATGGTCTTTGCTGCTTTTCAAAAAGAATCAAAAGACAAAGAAGAACTATTTGCATTCATAACATATGATGTGGCTAGCAGCTCTTACAAACCATGAAAGGATGTGTTCATAACAGCTGTGGAGTCAGTGGTTACAGTAGGAAGTGAAGAGGATATGCAGTGCACTGATCAGGAAGAGGCGGATATCAGAATCTGCCTTCATGTCAAAGATGCTTTGCAAAAAGTTGCTACAAACATCATGGTTTAGCACTGTCGACACAAATGTTGTGGTCCAAACTGGTTGAACTAAAGTCTGCTGTTCAGCTGCGGGTGTCATTAGGAAACGGGGAAAAATGTCAGATGTTATCACATAAACAGAATATTCCAAAATCTTGGCTGTCGGAGATGAGTGGTGCTTCCCTTTTTCCACGCATTGACTGGTTCTGACACAACAGTTCAGTGGAAAAGGCAAAAAGGCAACTGCTTTGATGACTTGGATATCCTAGGGGGATGTGACTAATAGATTTCCTTTTCCTGCACAGCATCCATTCCAACCTGTGGACAAAGACTCGGAAGTGTTTTCATAAGTTTAGCGATTCACATGCATCTTGTCTACCAAACCTACATCAGTGAACACAGCCAACGAACTGCGACAAGAGATGTTCTGCCAAAGCCGCAAGATCAAGTTTGATGCCGAACCTTCCTCACGCTCAGGATGCTCTGCTAGAGCACGCAAACAGGAGCTTGTACCAGGCCAGCATATGGCTTACTTGTTTACTTCTCTGACAGAAAGTATCAGAGCCAGATTTATTTGGTTGGACAAAGGACAACAACCCATGGCTCCCGGTGTGGATGGCACTGCCAGAAGCTTCACGAAGTTGTAGAAAATTTGGCTACAAGACTCAACCTCTATGTTCAAAGAAGTGTATTTGTAAATCTTCTCAACTTCTATGCACATCGCTTTGTAACTTCAATGGGAACTGTTAAAGGAGACTTCAGAATTACAGAGATCGATGTTTGACAAATTGATGTCACGTGACTGATCAAAACCTTTTCATTAATTGGATGATGAATTATATCTTTTACTACTAAAGATAAATCCTGTTTGTTATATTTCTTGAAAGTATTAAAAATAGCCCTTTGAACGGCGAATATATCTCACATATTGCAACAAATGAATATTTTTTTATAGTCGGCGACCATTCTGGGTGGACTTCAGCACTCTTTGATTTTTGGCGGCCATCTTGGAGTTTTTGGTAAATTAGCCAAAACATTCAGACACATCCCCAAAATATGCTTAATCACGATGTTCCCTAGCACTGTGCAAGGTTTTCTGCTTTAATCCAGCGGGGTAAAGTCATCTTGGATTTTGGGGAAAATAGGCCCAAGCATTCGAGCACACCCCAAAAATATGCTTAATCACGATGTTCCCAAGGTTTTCTGCTTTAATCCAGTGGGGTAACTTCACAATAGTGTTAGAATTGGAAATCCTTGCTTTTAGGGGGCCATCTTGGACGCCATCTTGGAAAATGGGCCCAAACATTCGGGCACACCCAAACAATATGTTTCATCATTATGTTCCCAAGCACTGTGCAAGGTTTTCTGCTATAAAACCAGCAGGGGAAATTTATATAGTGTTAAAATTCGAAATCCTTGATTTTTGCCTATCTTGGACGCCATCTTGAATATTTCGGAAAATGTGCCCCAAAAATCGGCACCCTCCAAAAATATGCTTTATCATGATATTTCCCAGCACTATGCAAAGTTTCATGCTTTAGTCCGGCATGTAACGATCAACCTCAAAATCGGACCTAAGCCACTGCACTACTATCATCTCGGGCTGTTGTGACTCAGGGCCACCCAGTCGGCGTGCATGTTCAACGGACCCATTGACTTGAAATCTCTGCAACAGTCTACCAATAGATTTCTGACTCACATTAAAGCGGGCAGCAACCTGCCGCTGAGTTTGACGAGATTCCTAAAGCCTGACTCGTTTCAGCAAGTGTCAACAAACGTCTCATTTTCAGGTGCGATTTCAAACAGGTACCTGAACAGTGAACGACAGTGATAAAGCATCAATGCATGTGTATTGCCCTCCACTTTCAACGGATAGAGCGATTTGCACGTGCAAATAATTAAGTTTCAGGTGGATTTTCCATATTGACAATCTGAATAAAAATGTGCCATTTGTAAAGGAATGTGTCGGACGTTAAAGAACGTAATAATTACGGCCTTTTTCCATGCTGTTAAGAAAGTTTGTAAAATATTCAGTTGTGTATATTTCAAACAAAAACGAAGATTTTACACCTTTTAAGAAATAATATTAACCATAGCTTGACCCTTCATTAATGACGCCGAGTATATACGTTCTCCTTTGATTTGGCATTGCAATGTGGTCGTGACGGGTGCCATAGTTCCTTGGCCAAGGGCTAATGCTGATTATGGCGTTTCAAACACACGTGTATATAATCTAGTCGGAATCATGCAGTGGACACAGCTTCATATATACAGTTGATTTGCCATGTCACATGTTCATGACTGGTGCCACTGGTGGACTAGGAAACGCTGCCACTGTTTATTAGTCAGAGACATTCTTGTGCTATTCCGGTATGTTTCAGGTGCATTTGCACTTCAAATGAGATTTTCATTTTGCATAGCATGTCCAGCAAACCTTTCTTTACTTCTTAATGAAACCGTGAAATCACACATAGTCATACTTCAAAAAAACGTCGTTACATGCCACGTTAGATACGTCTCCAAAAGCCTCAAGCTGAACTGATCGGATGGTAGGGCCACCTGACAGGGTTAATTAAACTGCATGGTAGCGTGACAGAGTTCCTCGTAATGCAGTTTTCATTTTTGAAAAAAGCAAACATATTTTTTCACAATTTTGAAATCAAAGTGTAATTATATATGTAGAAAAAGTTCTTTCTGTTGAACGGTGCCACTTCTCGTTTACGTCCTTTAATCATCATGGACCATTTAGTATATTCTTCAATCACAATGCCAGTTGTACTTTGCATTCCACCAAATCAAGCACATACAGTTTCACCAAATTGTTTCAGGAATGAAAAGAGACAAACGGTTGACAAAGAATTCATCTGTCTCGCAAAGTCATTCAGTCTTTGTGTTGCTTTTGCGGCAAACGTGGGAGGTATGGCGACATTGACCGGCACACCACCTAATATCATCTTCAAAGGACAAGCCGATTTGTAAGTAAACCTTTTGCCTCACCTTATTCACACTCAAACAAAACTTATCAGCAGTTTCGATATTTGTTTATACAGTCTCTTTTAAACAAAGATATTCCTGGTAAATAATGTATATGTACTATTCTAAACAATAGTTGTAATAAGGCATGTTGAAAAACGTCTTTAAGATGGCATGTTTACAAAGATAACTACAGTTGATATGTACAAAGATTGTTTGAGTAAAGTAAAGTAAAGTAAAGCAAAGCTAACAAAGAGGGTTCAGGTGATCTGGTACAGCCTGGTTAAGTATATCATCAGCTCAGGGCCCTTGTCCCACCTGCACGCATCCCAGACAGCGAATAGGACTGACCTCAAGAAGCGCTGATTAGTCCAACCAACCACGAACCTTTCGGAGAATATTGAGACTTATCAATACTGCAGCTTTCTGCATTACATAGAGTGTCAGAAGGGATGTGTTCCCCGCCCAGCCAGTCCACTCTCTTGATCAGCATCAAGAGATCATGAAGTACTAAACCAATGCCAAAGAGAATGACGACAGTGCAATTGGGATGCAAGGGAGACATTTCCAAGGCGAAGTCCGCATATTTATCAAACTTTTCCTAAATCTTGCCTGTCACATTGCTGTCAGAAGAACAAGATCCGGTTTGTCGAAAAGTAAGTTTTCCTGGCTACACAAAGAACTTTTCCAAAGACGTTTAAAGCATCTTTTTCGAATAAAACCTTGACATGTTCAGGGTCGTACCACGGGTTTACCTCAGGGTCAAGGTGTCACGGCACTTACACACGGTGCGGCGGTTGTTCAGAGCCTTTTTTTGAAAAACTGTCTGTGCTGATATGACACTTTACATGATTGTGCTCTGTTGTCTGACATGATTCTTCTTGTGAAGGTGTCATTTATCTCAATGCCCTTTTTCGTCCAGTCAACAAGACCAAATGAATACGGGAAGACAGGCACAGCGGATATATTTGTAGCCTAGATTTTGGACTCCAGTCTTTCTTAAGTCTACTTTTGTTTTCTGCCTGTAGTGTGTCCTTCTCGATCATATGGGCATTCTGGGGTTGGTCTCCAATGTGCATCCTCAAGTACGTACGGGTCTGACCTACCATGAGATGGTCAGTTACTCCTTCACCGTGTCAGTTGACTGATCCTCCTTCTTCTGTCTTGCCACGTTTCAGAATAATGTTGCATTAATCGGGACGGAGGGACAAGCTGATGTCATTGAACTGTGTGAGTGCGTGAGTTAAGATGTATAGCAACATCAGCAACAAAATATAATCTACATCGATAATAAGTAACATCTTTTTGTTTTGTTGTAAAATATGTCGGCAAAGGACAGATACAAATCAAATTTAAATCTAAATTATAATACTATTCAGCATTCGTGACCCACTCGTGTTATTGCGGGACAATCCGAATGCCAACTCGTGCACCTCTGGAAGGATTTCATATTGGATATTCATATGAACACCAGAACTACATCAAACAGGAACGATAACTCCCTTTCTGCTTAATTCCAACAGTACAGTAGTACCCTAAAAGAAGAAGAAGAAGATGATGATGATTTGATGAAAAAATATTCTAATGTTCGCCTTAAATTTCAAAATGTATATTTCTAAATACGTGTTTCAGTGTCACACATTTTCTTCCTGAATAGCCAATTCAAATACCATTATATTTTAGCTGTAATACGTCCTAAAATGGATACACAAAAAAGGCCTTTTGCAAATGTCTCAAAAGGAGGATTTGTTGAGAGTCCAATACGCAGTGTCTACCAGTTGTCTTAACTGTCGTGTCACCTTGCTGCCATACTCCGGTTGGAATATAAAATGAATACGTTGAAGTTAAAGGCCCTTAAGAAACGTCAGGCTGAAATATCTCCAAGTGAAGTGAAATGTAAGCACAATGTGTAAGTTTGGTTAGTTGTGTATCAATATACTTTTTTAAACGGGTAGCTCTGGACACGTTGAAAAGCGCACTTAAAATTTCCAAAGCAAGCCCGCAATATCGTCAAAGAAAACACGGAGTTGGAAACATGAGAGCCGTTATGCACGTGTGTGTATTTGAATCTCGCACCGTTGGTGGACCTATCCTTATTAAAAAAATCTTCAAATTAGGCAACACTATTCTGTACGCTATGTTCTTTGTTATGCCATAATGACGATATATATTTTTCATGATTTTTAAACAGTCACATAATGCCATAACCGATTTATGTACAAAGAATAATATTTGATCAAAGTACCTCAAACCTTACACACATAACATTCACCGAGAGGAGGACGAGTCTTCTTGGAGGTTACTGAAGCAGCGACATATTCAGGACAAAACAATATATCAAGGGTCTTCAGATCGCCAACAACGGAAGGTAAATCACCTCACCTGGGACCATTTGGACCTATAATACCTTTGCTACCTACATAGACAATAAAACAATGTTATTTATCAACTTGAGTGTCCTTTGCATAAGATCCCGATGGTAACTTCTTATAACAGGTTCATAATCACCATAAGGTTACAAAAGTGGTGTCACCGATTTGAATCAGCCATTGATTCCAGTACGGCTGGGTAACCAACAGAAGACGATGTCGTTTTTGACCGTTGCAAGATATTCAGATAATTAAATTATATCAACTAACAATGCATGTTTAACGGACATATTTATGATAAGCTGAAGAAAAGAAAAAGTGAGTCTACAAGTACAAGTATTATGTACTGTTTATATTTGAACCGTTTTTATTTATTTAAGCAGATTCATTCACTCATGATCACTCTCAGATCCTCACTCCATGCAGATTCATTCACTCATGATCACTCTCAGATCCTCACTCCATGCAGATTCATTCACTCATGATCACTCTCAGATCCTCACTCCATGCACAGATTCATTCACTCATGATCACTCTCAGATCCTCACTCCATGCAGATTCATTCACTCATGATCACTCAGATCATTCACTCCATGATCACAGATTCATTCACTCATGATCACTCTCAGATCCTCACTCCATACAGATTCATTCACTCATGATCACTCTCAGATCCTCACTCCATGCAGATTCATTCACTCATGATCACTCTCAGATCCTCACTCCATGCAGATTCATTCACTCATGATCACTCTCAGATCCTCACTCCATGCAGATTCATTCACTCATCACTCTCAGATCACAGATCCTCACTCTCATGATCACTCTCAGATCCATTCACTCATGATTCACTCCATGATTCATTCACTCAGATCCTCACCATGCAGATTCATTCACTCATGATCACTCAGATCCTCACTCCATGATTCATTCTCATGATCACTCTCAGATCCTCACTCCATACAGATTCATTCACTCATGATCACTCTCAGATCCTCACTCCATGCAGATTCATTCACTCATGATCACTCTCAGATCCTCACTCCATGCAGATTCATTCACTCATGATCACTCTCAGATCCTCACTCCATGCACAGATTCATTCACTCATGATCACTCTCAGATCCTCACTCCATGCAGATTCATTCACTCATGATCACTCTCAGATCCTCACTCCATGACACATTTTACATACACTTTACATAGACGATCTTGTAAAGGGGTACTGTAGGTGGGCGGTGAAACCTGCCGAGCTATATTTTGCACGGAAGCGTACCACATCTCAGCTTTGCTAACAGGCTTCGATGCTAACGATTTGACACTAGATTAAGATACATTTCAGCATTTTGGCCAGATTTGAACATTCTGGAAATACGCAGCTTGTTTCCATTAACTGTACCTCTGTCAGTCCACATCTCGTGCCACCAATTTCCCATGTCCAATCTATTTAATCGGTCCTTTAGCTGTATAAAATCCTGTGATGTTAATTTTCAATATGTATGATATGCACTTGGAGGGACTGTAGCCAGGATATAATGGTATTATACCACGATTTACGGAACCAAGTTGACCAGTCTGTAACGATACTCACAAGCCTATCCGGATTAATAATAACTTTTCCAGAACCGAACGACTTCTATACGTTTTACGAATACATGGTTGATGATACTTATCCGTAGAAAGGCCTTCCATCTCGAGTGTGACCTGGACCATAGTTGACTTTGTGGCCCAAACACACAGACGTATGCACGTGCATCATGGTACCCTCGACTTTCTGTGCAAAAGGAGAGGTATCAGTGCAAATAAGGGCATATAAAGTAGCAGTTATGCGCTTGGCCATTCAGCCCGTGTACGCATGGCTCGTAGCGGGCGGCAGCACGTACAATGTCATGCTGAGCTTTTGGAAGTCAACTTGTTTATGGTGAGACATACATACAAACATTGGAGGTAACGGGGTTTATGTTAATAATAATATGTGCATTTCTATAGCGCATCTATTCACACAAGTATGCTCTGTGCGCTGCTCAGACAAGGTAACTGTTAGAGAAATGTATTTTGAAAGAGATAAGTCTTTAGATTATTTTTGAAGGAAGACACGGTTTTAGCCATTTTAAGGGATGCAGACAGTTCATTCCATAAGGTTGAGGCAGCGTAGGCAAAGGTTCTTTTACCAAATGTGACTGTCTTATACTTTGGAACTGTAAAGAGATGCTTAAGTGTGCTGAGATCGAATAAATCTAGATGGAGAGTATGTGTGCAGACGTTCTTGCAGGTAAGAGGGAGCCAGATCATGGAAGCACTTGTATGCAATCAGAAGAATTTTGAAGTCAATGCGAGAAGCTACGGAGAGCCAGTGGATGTCTTTCAGTAATGGCGTTATATGGTCAAACTGTGAAGATCTGAAGATAATTCTTGCAGCAGAGTTCTGAATGGCTTGAAAGTCTTTCTATCTAGTCTTTGTTAATATTGGCAAAGAGACTATTGCAGTGGTCTATTCTTGAAAGAATCATCACAACGGTAAATTTGACAGTCGAATCTTTGTTGAGATAGGACCTGAGTTTTCCAATGTTTCGTAGATGGTAATTAGCTGTCTGGCATACTCGTGTTACGTGATGATTCATCATCAGCTACTGGTCCAGCCAAACTCCAAGATTTCGTACGGTTTTGAGGGTTGAATGGCCGCACCTGCTATGTTCAGATGTCCTATACCACCACAGGCTTTAATGATTTTTTTAGGGCCAAACAGAATGACTTCTGTCTTTTCCTGGTTTAGTTTGAGCATGTGCGAACTCATCCATGTCTTTACATCAGAGCAGCATTGCTCGAGAACATGAGCTGAAGATTGGGCGTTAGGCGTTATGAATGAGACATAGAGTTGATTATCGTCAGCGTACTGATATTGATTCACATCAGTGGTAACCGATAGACAACTTTTGGTGTTGTTATTGATGTTCGTGATGTAAATTGATTTAAACTTAAATAAACCTTTAAGTAAATTTATGTTCGAATGTAAATACGTGTACATAAAGGTATAGCGAGATTAGTAAACCTGTAGGGAAATGTAAATGTTGTATGTTACATACCTCGTCACAAATGCATGTCCAAATATACTGACCTCTACGTAAATGTAGGTTTAAATTACAAACATAATCACAAAGTAAATCAGCTTAAACTAAAGTCTTTCACAAACACACCTCTGCCTTAGCTTACTTCTGAAGACTTTTTAACCGTTGTATTTCAGGACGTTCTCAAAAGCTGGCGGATCGGAGGTGAACTTTGCCAACTGGCTGGCCGTAGGACTGCCAATATCTGCTATCTTGTTTGTATTTGTTTGGGGCTGGCTTTACATCTACACTGTGAGAACAAAGTAAGTAAAGCGAACTTATTTTGTTCACGTGTCAATCAACTCTCATAAGAAGTAGAAAGAACGAAATGATTCTTTTACCTGAAATCATTTTGACTTTGTCAATAACCTAATCAGGAATCAGATTGTGTCGCTTGTAGTAGTAGCTACATCTTAGAATTCGGATTCAGAAACTCCTTGTCGTAAAAGGCGAATACAGTGAGTCAAGTGGTCAGACCCGCTGATCTCTTGATGCAAGTTATGGTGTCCCAATCGCTGAAATAAATGTTAATGATGCTAATCACCGGATTGTTCGGTCCAGAAGTCACATAGCTAGAATAATGCTGACAGCGGCTTAAAACCAAAAACAAACACATTCAAGATAACACCATTATAAGACTGGGCAATAATGACATATATACATGATTTTTGTAAACAGGATTCTCAAATGCTGCCAGAAAGACCAAAATTCGTACTTCGCAGTGAGAAACGTTATCAGGAGAGAAGCTAGTAAACTTGGTACAATGACGTAAGTTCAACATTGACCGATAGAGGCTGAAAGGTCTCGTAGTGAACAACATGAAGTATATACTGCCTATACTGCATTGATACCTGGATATATGGGCAATAGAGAGTATTTTATAAAGGAAATATATGATTATTGACTGATATTATTCGTGGCAGGGGTTAAAGTATACTAGGCACATACAGAAACTGTGCATACAAAAATTTAAAATGTAAATTTATCAAACCTGTGTACACACATAAGGATTTAAACTCAGAGATTAGTGACATGTATCCAAGATGCATGCACATGCCACATTCCGTGACGTCAGTGGGTTCGTCCTTGAGACGTGCAATACGTTGTTGCACGTGCATTCCGGGAAAGAGAAAGAGAGCAAATGAATGCCACATAATACTGTCACTTTGGAAAGCTCAATCCCTGCCCTTGCGATCGTTAAAAAAATTAAACGGCTATTGAAACGCATAGCATGCCAAAGCTCACGTCTGCACAACGTCATGAGGCCATTGGGATGGTCCGTGGGGGAATGTCTCAACGACAAGTGGCTGCACATTTCCACTGCCACCGGAACACCATTTCTGCACTGGTGAGACGCTACCAGAACACAAATGACGTCATCGATCGGCCACGTTCTGGACGTCCACGTGTAACAACGCCAAGACAGGACATATGGATAAGGGTGACCCATCTTCGCCACAGGTTTCAGACTGCAGTGCTGATTGCCCGAACCATCCCAGGACTTCGCCGTATCCACCCCAACACAGTTTGACAACGTTTACGTCATCACGGGATCAGACCACGACGTCCCGCCATACGGTCTATCCTGACACAACGTCATCGACAAGCTCGCCGAATGTGGTGCCGAAATCATGTCCGCAGACCCTTGTTTTGGTGGAGAAATGTTGTTTTTACAGACGAGTCCAGGTTTAACATTTCCCATAGTGATGGACGTCAACGTGCCTATAGACGCGTGGGAGACCGTTATGCACAGGCCTGTGTCTTGGAGAGGAATCGCTTTTGTGGTGATTGCGTGATGATTTGGGGTGGAATAACAGCACGCCAAAGAACTTCTTTGGTGAGTTCAGGGCAACTTAACTGGTGTGGGCTACAGGGATCAGATTCTTCGACTTGTGGCAATTCCTTTTCTGCAACGCCATGACCCTGGGTTAACATTGCAACAGGACAATGCCCGCCCTCATATGGCAAGGGTTGCTATGGATTTCTTGCAACACCAGAACGTTGACTTACTGCCTTGGCCTGCAAATTCACCGGATCTCTCCCCGATAGGGCATGTTTGGGACGAGATGGATCGACGTCTACGCCGTCTTCCTCATCCGCCAGATAACGTCCTTGACCTTGCAACAGAACTTGAGAGAATCTGGCGTGACATCCCACAAGCCTTCCTTGCACGTTTGATAGGCTCGTCATTGTGATTGACTTTTCAATTGAAATTCTCCCGACTTGTTATGGTCTCATGATGCCTCCATTAAAGTTTATATGTACCTTTGACATTCTTATCGTACTTAACAACTGGGATAATATTTTGACAATGCACAGTTTCTTTATATGGCTAGTATATATTAAGGTTATTGTCCCTCTGAGATGGCAAGTAAGCCCATTTCATTCAAATTATTTTGATATCCACCATTATTTTAATCATAGAACATGTGTTCTTGTAATTCATGGCATATGTTGTCTAAATCGCTAACATCTGAATGGATGTTCTAAATCCAGCTTGGTATTATAGAGGTAGAAATTCTCACATTATATTTTGTTTCTATATTTTTTTATAACTGGCTCACTCACTCACATACAGTTTATGTATGTATACATATACTAAGTGATTGTATAAACATAAACAACAGCCGGATGATCTATCACATTACATGCCAACAACAGACACCTACAATGTACTGGTGTATACATGCCAACAACAGACATCTACAATGTACTGGTGTATACATACTAATAATAGACACCTACAATGTACTGGTGTATATATACCAACAATAGACATCTACAATGTACTGGTGTATATATACCAACAACAGACATCTACAATGTACTGATGTATATATACCAACAACAGACACCTACAATGTACTGATGTATATATACCAACAACAGACACTTACAATGTACTGGTGTATATATACCAACAACAGACACCTACAATGTACTGGTGTATATATATACCACAACAGACACCTACAATGTACTGATGTATATATACCAACAACAGACACCTACAATGTACTGATGTATATATACCAACAACAGACACCTACAATGTACTGATGTATACCTATCAACAACAGACACCTACAATGTACTGGTGTATACATACTAACAACAGACACCTTCAACGTACTGGTGTATACATACCAACAACAGACACCTACAATGTACTGGTGTATACATGTCAGGGTGATAGCAATAATGCCGGTGTAAAACGTGTCAACACACGAGACCTGGTATAGTGCTGTCACATCAGGAAAAACACAATCGTGGCGAACAGGAATACAAACACATGATCATCTCCAAATCGATTTGTGGAGCCTTTTTTATGACTGGTACTCTCACAGCCCCAAGTCCGTGTTGCTGTAAACATACATAAAATAACAGACATGTACAATATATTGTTGTATACAAACAAATCACAGACATCTTAAATTTATTGAGCTATACAAACAGATATAGTGTATCAAGCTTTAGTTATATGCATTCATCCATCTAAGTGGGGCAAAAGTTGATAAGTTATGGCATGAAATGCATCGGATAAACTGATTTGATTAATATTCAGATTCCCCGAAGTGATTGTGTTGGTCAACTTTACCATTCTGGCGTTGCTGTGGGTTACCCGGAAACCTGGTTTTATCCCTGGCTGGGGAAACTTGCTAAAGGAAGGGTGAGGTATTTCTTGACCAATGCATACATTGTGGTTGTTTGGCTTTTGGAAAACAACCGGTAAACGGCACATGCATCAGTAGATCTTTTTTGATACTTAGAAACAAAAAAAATTATGTTGTGATGTAAGAAATGGTTATATTGCCCTGAGCTATTGCATCTCCTTGCTTTACGACAGATCGCTGATATAACTCCAAGTTTTGTTTAACTGAGCCCGCATGATTTTCACATCCCAGTACCAAGTGAGCAGTTGATTCAGGTCCACTGCAAGAGTCGTCCAGTTAAAAGTGCCGCTTCTTCATGTCAGCTTTGAAGAAATACGTACATTATTTAAAACCATATCGCTCTATGTTTACCCTGCTATGAAACCTTAGCACGCCTCTTCTAAGTCAAATGTTTTACTTTTCTTCTCTTTATATTGGTATTGATATATTGATATTAATTTTATGGTCAACACTGGTGCCAGGTATATTCATCATATTCCTGGGGACTTTGAATATTATAAACAAACCTAGGTGAAAGAAATTATCTATCATAGCTTTTATCGACACGCGTGCAAAAGACTTTGTTGCTTCAAAATCACCTTTTAACAGCTCTGTAACAACGTTCTGAGCAAAGGTTTAGATGTCCGTTCATATATTGAATTAATTTTTGTTAGCATTATTTAGACTAGTTTGAAAGAAATAAGATGAAATTAGTATCATATTCAGATGTCAATATATTCATGCTGAGTATTTATTGCAATGTTTTATCATATTCCCGGGATAGGATCACTGACTGATACAAATATACTGAGTCAAAAAAGAAACTTCACAAAATGTAATTTGAAAAATAATAAATATTTTTTCTCTGATGATACATCTATGTATCCGAAATGGGATCCCTATCTGTCGACTCTAGAAAAACGTTAGCAAAACCCACTCAAACCAATCCATTCGTCGTGCAAATGATGTTAGTGCCAAATCAGGTTTTGCACGTGCAGTCGATCACGTGATCTTCGCATCGAAGTTTTCTTCATATGCACGTGTTTGCATTGGCCTCAAGAATTGAAAAAACACTGTTAAACCACAGTTCTAACGGTACTTGAAATTCCACGATTGTCAAATCTGCAACGTGAACGTGCCGTTGGCATGTTGCAAGCGGGAAGATCAGTTATTGACGTCGCAAGAGCAATGGGATGCAGCCGTCGTACTGTGTATGACTTGCGAGGTCGTCTACAACAAACTGGCACCACTTCTGATCGCCCAAGGTCGGGTCGTCCACGTGTGACGTCACGAGCAGAAGACCGTCAAATCGTCCTACGTCACCTACGTGACAGATTTCTGCCAGCTACACGAACCAGGGCTGAGATGTTTAGAGGTCGACTGTCCTCACAGACCATTCGAAATCAGTTGCGGGCTGCCAATCTCCATTCTCGACGTCCATATCGTGGGCCAATATTGACGCCGTTTCATCAACGTCAACGTCTGCTGTGGGCCCAACGTCACCTCCGATGGACCCAGAGAGACTGGAATCGAGTCGTCTTTAGCGATGAATCCAGGTTTACCCCAGATTCGCGAACGGCAGGCATAGAGTCTGGAGACGATGCATTGTGTGGGGTGCTTTCTGTGGGAACAACCGTTCCCGACTTCTGGTCATCCGTGGAAACCTCACAGCTGCTGCTTACCGCGACCAGGTGTTCACCCCTGAACTCGTTCCTTTCATGGCGGCTCATGGCCCAGGTCTACAGTTCCAGCATGATAATGCTCGGCCGCATACCGCGATGTTGACACGAAATTTCCTTCAAAACGCTGGAATCAACGTCATGGACTGGCCATCGAGGTCCCTTGACCTTAATCCAATAGAGCACGTTTGGGATGCACTTGGGAGAAGGCTTCGTGGTCTTAGGAACCAAACTCAGAATTTGCAGGAACTTGGCGCTGCCTTGCAAGAGCAATGGTGCAGAATCCCCAACCACGTGTTCACAAGCATCAGGCAGTCGATGAGGAGACGGCGTTTGGCAGTGGTGAATGCGCGGGGCGGCCATACACGATATTGAACTGAGAAATTTCGCATTTTTATTCTTGTGACTTGACATTCTGTATACCCATGTTTTGGAAAGGCGGTGTATCCTAATGGAACTGATTATGGCACTGTCAGTGTATCGAGTACATCACACAGATCTCAACAATGAAATAATAACAATTTAACCATCTTACCATCTCTTGTTCTTTTATAGTGCTCTGAAGAAAGAATGTGAAGTTTCTTTTTTGACTCAGTATAGTTATATACATAGTATTCGGAGATGTTTTCGTGATAAAATACTAGATTCAATGAAATGAAATACCTGTAGAAAGAAAGACACGCTATGACTATCATCAACAAGGACAGACTAACCGGACATCGTCTGTTATGTAGCAGCTTTAACGGTGTGGTAATATATGGACGCAACAGGAAACTGATATTTCAGATGATTCCCTAGACACTGTTACGCCGGCGTTAAAACAGAAACAATTCAAAATTGGCTTTGTTCTCTGTCATTGGACAAAGATCTATCTTCTTCCATCCTTTAATATCAGTTTCTGGTGTAAAAGTAAATTGCACTTGCAAGATTTACACGAACTCATGACCTCGAGACGGGGAGACATTTATAGGGATCTGAAGAGAACGCAGAATATGTCGATTTTATGATCTAAGCGCTGTAGAAAGTGAATATCATTTTTCGCTAATATGTCCATTGTCTAGTGGTCTAGAAACAATTCACTGATAGATATTAAAGCCGTTATTAAAGAAAATTGTTTCGCTTATGTCAGGTAACACTGTAACTACGTAGACACTGTCAACCTACTATTATGAACCTGATAAGTTCCACACATGTAACCATGTAACCTTACATATGTTACAGGGAAAGTGCCAAATCTGGGAATGTGTATACTAGGCAGCCAAAGAAACGTCATTTTGGAATTTTCCTTGGCAGAAACGGATAACTGTAAACTCATTTAATGTTTTGATTGTATATTTTTGACAACATCTCCAACTTAACCTGAGCAAAGACATTCCTTCGCAAACTCAGAATGGAACCCAGGAAATGGTCTCTAAAACGCAACCTGATCTCGGAGATGGTACGGTGTTCTCCATGTTTTTCATGCAACTCATGCTGCACGTGCTGTTTACAAGGACCAGCCCTATAAAATGCACCCGCAAACCTGGTTGAAACATTCACATTACAACGTCAGCAGGATGTCGCGATTCACGACAGCTCAGAGGAACCAGGCGCTAGGAAGACTTGAAGCTGGCCACACTGCACAAGCCGTTGCCAATCACTTCCAGGTCAACGTTTGGACCATCTACAGGCTGCAGCAACGTTTCCGGGCCACCGACACCACAAATGATCGCCCCCGTACTGGCAGACCAAGGGTGACCACAAGACGACAAGACCGCCATGCTGTGCGACAGCATGTACAGAATCCCTTCATGCAGGCATCCGAAACAGCACGCCAGACAGTGGAAACACACGGAAGACCAATCAGTACTGATACAGTACGCCGACGTCTTAAGAGCGGGAACCTCCATTACCGTAGACCTTACCATGGACCTATCCTCAACCCTCGTCATCAGCGTCATCTACTGTTTGCCCTACAACACCAAAACAGGCGATACAGGCAATGGGGAACAGTTCTGTTCACAGATGAGAGTCGGTACTGCGTATCAACTGCAGATCGCAGAACAAGAATATGGCGACGACGTGGCCAGCGTTACTCAGACCAATGTGTGGAAAGAGACTCATGGGGAGGTGCAAGCATCATGGTATGGGATGGAATAGGCCTGAACCAAAGAGTGGGTCCTGTGGTGTTCCACAACCTTGGTCCAGAGAGAGGAGGCGGCACACAGCGGGGCGTTACATCGACCAATCTCTCAGACCCCACGTCATACTACATTTCGCACGTCACCGGAACAACATTTCCCAGCATGATAACGCCCGGGCCCATAATGCCAGAGCTACACGGGACTTCCTGCAGCAAAAACGGTGTCAACATTATGCAGTGGCCAGCCCTTAATCCTGATTTAATAATCCTGTCCCGATTGGACATCTTTGGAATGAAATTCAGAGGAGACTGTATAATGCCATACCAAGGCCGAACACAGCCGATTGATTGCACCAGGCCTTTCTCAGAGTGTGTTTCCAGGTGCCAGTGACCTTCATCAATCGATTGGTGCACTCCATGCATAGAAGCTGTGCAGTTATTGCCGATCGTGGTGGACACATTAGATACTGAAGTCAAGAGTCTGAATGGACTGCAAACGTTCACGTAATGTCTTGAAATTGTGCAGAGTTATTGAGTGATGGGTCAAGATATCGTGCACAAAAAATAGTTTAGATCCGCTTATTATGCCCATTTCTGTAATGATTTGATTACAGTGCCTGTCAAATTTTGAATTCGTACTGACGTATTTTTTTGCTGCTGAGTATATAATCGCAGACATTTTCAGGGAATGCAAGTGATGTATGATTCACTCAAGGAATGTATATACATGAAATACGTATCACAGCACCTATGATTATAACCCTTATATTGCCATGCATGATCATATCACAATTAGGTTTGTTTGTATGATTAGTTTTTATACTTTGGGGGCATCATGCATTGAGTGTGTATATGCACGTGTTACGATCAAAGGCGGGCACCACGTGTAATTTTTAAGCCAATGTCAAGTTTCAGTGAACTGTTCTTCAGCACGATATCTCGTAAAATCACTTAATTTCGTTGTTGATTGTTACACATGGGACCTCCAACACTGACATCGGCTCAAAGGTGGCAAGTTATTTAGTATTTGGAATGATATCATTTCACTGAGGATTATTTCAAGAGATTTTGGTCAGATCAGCCAGAACTAATAGTGAGGATACATCCCTGAATCACAACACTTCACCCGCTCCAGTTAGGTGGCGTGCTGAAAACAGACCGGCCTCCACATCATCGTTTGTCTTGTCGAACGGAACGGTCCGAAATCGCCTTAAATCGGACATGTATGGAGCGAGGCTACCTACCAGACTTCCATTATCACCGGAGCACAAGCAGCACGTCACCAGGCTTTGGCGTCACGGGGAGGGTCTGCTGGTGGGACGAATGTCGATTTGTTTTGTTCATGGCCGAGCTCTTCTTCGGCGCCGCAGAAATACTGCATTTGCATAACAGAATATCGTGAAATACATTTTGGCAGGGTTCATTGCTGGTATGCCTCTCAGCATGACGTAAACTTGTTCTTGTGAAGATCAGAAACAAATTGAATGGACAACCGTACATCACTGACATCCTAGACATATTTGTTGTACCAGTCTTCATTGACAACAATGCTAGGTCACATCGTGCACGTTCCGTTGGTCATTTCTTACGTTAAACGACGGCATCACCTCTGCCTTGGACCTCCAGGAGTTGTTTGTCGTAAGAGGCGACGAACGGGATCGGGTAGTCAGACGCGTTGACTTGGTTGGCACATGCCACCGCATTCCTATTGCGTAGATCAATGCTCATGCTGTTGATCACTGGACTGTCTGGTCCAGACTGGATTATTTACAGACCGCCGCCATATAGCTGGAATATTGCTGAGTGCGGCGTAAAACTAAACAACGTCAGAGCTGGCCTATACGTTAATGGCGTCACGTCATGTTCTCTGACGAGTCCAGTTTCTGTTTACGATTCACTGATGGCCGCAAACGTGTATGGCGACGGCATGGACAGAGATACAGTCGTAATAGAATCACGGAGCATGATTCCTTTGGTGGAGGGAGAGTTAACATATTACATACAAACTGATATGTGTATGCATTACATTGAATCATTTCCCTGAAAATGTCATTGATTATACATATTCCGAGATTTGACATATTCCCTGTTACAAAACACCCATTACTATAATGCATGTAATACCCTTGGATTCCCCATGTTATGAACAAACTCCTAATGGGGGATCTGAGGTAGAATGTGCCCAAGCATGGACGGCGGAGAAAATGACGAACAGATGGACGGTCTTGATCGTCATATTTTTCAAACCGAGATGATAACAATTTTCGGATTTAAGATTCAATGTGGGATTGACAAGCTGAAGTTTGTCACCTGACCGTGTGTTCAGATAAGATGGAGCTGTTTCATTTACACCATCGTAAGATGGGTAAACAGCCCCAACTTAGCAGCCCAGTTGGACCCGATTATGTGTGTGCTTCCTTGTTTCACCTGCAACACTGAGCTTTCCTTTCAAAATAAGCTGTCAAGCCATGATGTAACTGGAATATCGTTCAAATCAGCCTACAAGCCCTTCCTACTAATGTCACCCTGGAAACTATATTTTTCGGAATATGCAATCAGATAAAAAATTAAAATTGCGGCTAACCCACAGATTATTGGATAGAATGTAAACCAGATTGTGTTAAAATACATAACAGGTTCGCTGGTACCTTTGTTGCAGGTATTCAGGTGATTCTGTTCCCGCAATTTTGATAGCTATCATTTTATTCATACTGCCGGCAAAGATCCCAAGTTTTCGGCGTAAAGGGGGCGATCTACCAGTTCAAGGTATGGTTCGAGTATGCAATATTTTTGTAGGCCTTGGTAATATACAGTTCTGTGTTCGAAGTACAATGTAAGAATGCCAAAAGTAAAGAGTACCGGAGAAGCGTAAAACATAAAATCGTGCATGAACAAGATTGTAGAGAGTCCAAAATGTATGCTTGTATGTGCAAAACAAGGCACTTTGTTGGTAACGTGAGTATGCATTGTATTCATTCAGGGCAAGGCTATCAACCTATTCTTACATGGAAAGCTGTAAATGACAGGATGGCTTGGGGTGTGATCCTGCTGATGGGAGGAGGCTTTGCTCTGGCGGATGCCTGTCAGGTAAAATACCTTCATTGCTAGCAGATTCCAAAAGCGATTTATGACATATCTTCTTTCTCAAAACAATAAAACTGGTGGAATCCATTCAATTTAAATTTCGCTAAATTATTATTGCAAAGTCCAATAGGTTTATCGGGCAAATTGTCTAATTCTCTAGACAAACAACCAAAACACGTATGTGTATATTTTGACTGTATATTTGTAAGATGGGCAACCGTGTAGTTTGGTGGGCAGGTGGCGATAGTTTAATTTCGATGAATATTGACCTCATAAGCTAAACATTCAACAGAGCTAATGGAAGGGCAGTGTTCCTATGTTGTGTAGACTGGCTCCCGTGGTTCCTATTATGTTCGGCATTGACATTATATGTGAACTCGTCCTTCATCAGTACTTTCCACAGGTACAGTAAGAAAAAACGTATATATTGTCACGTCTCACGTGAACATACGTCCTCAACTAACAGACTTAACACTGTCCCAAATCAGCTGCCAGCCTGTGATCAGGCTGTCACAGACAAGGTATTCAGGGATGATAACTAAACGTTCCCAGTTAGAAATGATTCATTTAGTTCTAATTTGTGATGGCACACATTTTCTGTTGCTTCAAAGTGTGATATTTAGGCACAACTGTTCTCAATATGTTTAAGCGATCAGGACTTTCAAAGTGGGTTAGTGGCCATCTTTTAGAGATGTCTTCACTCGAACCATGGATCATCGCAATGGTCCTTTCCATCATCATATCACTGGCAACACAGGTCACCAGCAACGCAGCTACAGCCACGCTCTTCCTACCAATAGTTGGGGAAATGGTAAGTAGAAGATGTTCGTGTTGCTCGTTTGTAAAATGGAAGATTTCCATTATTTGTATCGGAGATTAAGGAAGGAAATTTACTAATGTCTATATGTATGACAACAAAGGGTTGTGATTACAGAGAGTGAGATAAAATCATCCCACGATGAGAACAAGTTAATTATTACTTGTCAACATACTAATTTAAGTATCACAGTTTAGTTAAATAGAAATCTATCTTAATTTAAGCAGGGAATTTCTGTACATAAGTTATTGTAAATGTAAGCCAGGCTGTAGGGACTAGCAAGATTACATAATAGATCTGCATATAGTGAAATTGGATGATACGCGTTCTATTCTTGATCTGTTGGGAATCGTGCATTACAGTTTCACCGGGGTGGTTTATCGGTCAGTGGGGCTCATAACAGAACATCTATGTCAAAAAATGGGCGCGTATTCGACTTCATAGTCGGATGTTTCCTTTTGACAAGTACGGCGATATCAGAATATTTATCGATGGCTGGGGACTACATTTCCCTCGTAACACTTGTTATATTTGGGATTACATCAAATAATCCTGCATGGGACTGAGCCCAACAAAAGTACTGGAATCAATACTTTACAGAGAGAGTGTAATCCTAAACATGTGTTACAGTTGACCCTTTCTAAACGGCATTGTGTGTTCATACATTTCCCTCATGAGATTGATTAACTGAGTTATTGCTCGTGAAACCAATGATGTATATTACACAAGAAATAACAATACTGCAGTACATATACTACAATAAACGTGTTTTAGGTAGCACTGTACGGCACTGAGCGGTATACAAACCGTTCTTCAGCCAGACACCACGAGGGTCAAACCACGCCTTCGTGAATGAATGGCTATGTCATTCAACCAACCCACATCGTAATGATTCTAAGAACGCATACTTCTATATGTTTTTAAAAGTTGGAAACGAAAATTGTTGAGGCATACTGGTTTTGTGATTTTCATATACATCAAAGAACTGAAACCACGCATTCTCTATGCTTTTTACTAAGGAACATTATGAAAAAGCATGATAATGTGTTTAATAATAATTTCACTTTTATTCATTCATATCCCCTGTTGTGTTTCCAGTCACTAGTATACACTTTTAAAATGGCAGCTATTTCAAATGGTTCACTGCCGTGATACGGCTGGAATATTGCTAAAAGCGGTGGAAAACTAAACTCACTCACTCAGATGGTTCATATTGTTATATGTATTTCCTGAGGTAGTTTATGTCGTCTTCTGATGGCTACTGATAAATTGTGACATGGTTAACATTGTTTAATATCAAGGACCAGTACATTACAAACAAGGGTTATTGCAATCTTTGAGCGCCATTCATAAATTATATGTATAGAGGAGGAAATCTCCATGGTGAACGGATGTGTCTTGAAGTGTTTGAGGAGCTCTATGATGTCGTTCGTGGGGCCATGGTGGTTACCCACATGTACATATATAGCTCTCTGCTTCCTAGCTTACATGCACCTGACGATGGAGTAAGACTACACTCCGCATATTACAGAATATGGCTTCCAGAATTCCCCACAACCCAGTCAGAGGTCATCATTATTACTTACTTATACATTGGTACAAACATTGCACTGATGTAACAGTACTTGGGATCACGTACGCATGTCGCACACGACAGTACATGTTTCGATGTAGTATACAGACTGTACATGGTATATGTAGTATACAGACTGTACATATTATATATAGTATACAGACTGTACATATTACGTGTAGTATACAGACCATGCATGGTATATGTAGTATACAGACTGTACATGGTATATGTAGTATACGGACTGTACATATTATATGTAGTATACAGACTGTACATGGTATATGTAGTATACATTCTGTACATGGTATATGTAGTATACAGACTGATCATGGTATATGTAGTATACAGACTGTACATGGTATATGGAGAATACAGACTGTACATGGTATATGTAGTATGCGGACTGTACATGGTATATGTAGTATACAGACTGTACATATTATATGTAGTATACAGACTGTATTACATGGTATATGTAGTATACAGACTGTACATGGTATATGTAGTATACGGACTGTACATATTATATGTAGTATACAGACTGTACATGGTATATGTAGTATACAGACTGTACATGGTATATGTAGTATACAGACTGTACATGGTATATGTAGTATACAGACTGTACATGATATAAGTAGTATACAGACTGTATTATATGTAGTATACAGACTGTACATATATGTACTATACAGACTGTACATATTATATGTAGTATACGGACTGTACATATTATATGTAGTATACGGACTGTACATATTATATGTACTATACAGACTGTACATGGTATATGTAGTATACACACTGGACATGATATATGTAGTATACAGACTGTACATGATATATGTAGTATACAGACTGTACATGGCATGTGTATACAGACTGTACATGGTATATGTAGTATACAGACATATTATATGTAGTATACATGGTATATATAGTATACAGACTGTACATGGTATATGTAGTATACAGACTGTACATGGTATATGTAGTATACAGACTGTACATATATATGTAGTATACAGACTGTACATGGTATATGTAGTATACAGACTGTACATGGTATATGTAGTATACAGACTGTACATGGTATATGTAGTATACAGACTGTACATATATGTAGTATACAGACTGTACATGGTATATGTAGTATACAGACTATACATACTATACAGACTGTACATATTATATGTAGTATACAGACTGTACATGGTATATGTAGTATACAGACTGTACATATTATATGTAGTATACAGACTGTACATGGTATATGTAGTATACAGACTGTACATGGTATATGTAGTATACAGACTGTACATGGTATATGTAGTATACAGACTGTACATGGTATATGTAGTATACAGACTACATATATAGTATACATGTAGTATATGTAGTTTACAGACTGTATATGGTATGTGTAGGTATACAGACTGTACATATTATATGTAGTATACAAACTGTACATGGTAGATGTAATATGCAGACTGTACATATATGTATACAGACTGTACATGGTATATGTAGTATACAGACTGTACATGGTATATGTATGGTGTAGTATATGTAGTATACAGACTGTACATGGTATATAATTATACAGTACTGGATATGTAATATACATATATGTATACAGACTGTACATGGTATATGTAGTATACAGACTGTACATGGTATATGTGAGTATACATACTGTACATGGTATATGTAGTATACAGACTGTACATGGTATATGTAGTATACAGACTGTACATGGTATATGTAGTATACAGACTGTACATGGTATATGTAGTATACAGACTGTACATGGTATATGTAGTATACAGACTGTACATGGTATATGTAGTATACAGACTGTACATGGTATATGTAGTATACAGACTACATATATGTATACAGATTGTACATGGTATATGTAGTATACAGACTGTACATGGTATATGTAGTATACAGACTGTACATGGTATATATGTATATGTAGTATACAGACTGTACACATATATATATACAGATACAGACTGTACATGGTATATGTAGTATACAGACTGTACATGGTATATGTAGTATACAGACTGTACATGGTATATGTATATATACTGTACATGGTATATATGGTATACAGTACATGGTATACAGACTGTACATGGTATATGTAGTATACAGACTGTACATGGTATATGTAGTATACAGACTGTACATTATATGTAATATACAGACTACATATATGTATACAGATTGTACATGGTATATATAGTATACAGACTGTACATGGTATATGTAGTATACAGACTGTACATGGTATATGTAGTATACAGACTGTACATGGTATATGTAGTATACAGACTGTACATATTATATGTACTATATATGTACATGGTATTATATGTAGTATACGGACTGTACATGGTATATGTAGTATACAGACATACATATGTACATGACTACATATATGTAGTATACAGACTGTACATGATATATGTAGTATACAGACTGTACATGGTATATGTAGTATACAGACTGTACATGGTATATGTAGTATACAGACTGTACATGGTATATGTAGTATACAGACTGTACATATTATATGTAGTATACAGACTGTACATGGTATATGTAGTATACAGACTGTACATATTATATGTAGTATATAGACTGTACATGGTATATGTAGTATACAGACTGTACATGTATATATATACATGGTATATATAGTATACAGACTGTACATGGTATATGTAGTATACAGACTGTACATGGTATATGTAGTATACAGACTGTACATGGTATATGTAGTATACAGACTGTACATGGTATATGTAGTATACAGACTGTACATATATGTAGTATACAGACTGTACATATTATATGTAGTATACGGACTGTACATATTATATGTAGTATACGGACTGTACATGGTATATGTAGTATACAGACTGTACATGGTATATGTAGTATACATACAGACTGTACATGTAGTATATGTACATGTATACAGACTGACTGTACATGGTATATGTAGTATACAGACTGTACATGGTATATGTAGTATACAGACTGTACATATATTATACATATATATGTAGTATATGTAGTATATACTGTACATATTATATGTAGTATACAGACTGTACATATTATATGTAGTATACAGACTGTACATGGTATATGTAATATACAGACTGTACATGGTATATGTAGTATACAGACTGTACATGGTATATGTAGTATACAGACTGTACATGGTATATGTAGTATACAGACTGTACATATTATATGTAGTATACAGACTGTACATGGTATATGTAATATACAGACTTATACATATATGTATACAGACTGTACATGGTATATATAGTATACAGACTGTACATGGTATATGTAGTATACAGACTGTACATGGTATATGTAGTATACA